AGAGGTGTGATTATGAGAGAATAAGACTGATTTCAAAGAAGCACCCAAAGCTTATATACCCTCCTGGGGAGACATGATGCTCAAAACCTCTCTGAAACTCTCTTTTGGGAAATACTGAATAACTCATAACAGTAAAAAGGGCAATCTTTCATATTTGAATAACGCCCGAGAGATTTTTAAAGTGTTCCTCTTCGCATCTGAATTTTTAATCCACTGGAACTAAATTTGAATTTTGGAACCCTCCCCACAAAAATTATTTAGAACCCAACCAGGATCTTAAGTCTCTGGTGTCTGTGAATGCTAAAGAAGACAGCTGTGCTGGTCTACTGCTCCTGCTGGTACCCACTGAAGTCTAGCCAAGGTTAATGGCTCACATCACTGTGCATGCTGCAGTCCATGCCAAGGCCACTGTCCCAGTCCCCAGGTTGTCCCCAGACTGACCGATCTGCTAGTCATGTCTTCTCTCCTTGAGATGAAGCTGACACTATTTCCCCTGCTGTGACGATGCCAGCTCCAGTGTTAGTCTTCAGTTCCTGTGCTGCCATATTTTAGCTCCTTTAATGTCTACTCTTTGGTGCTAATGTTGGAACTCAGGCACAAGACCTTGGAAGATCATCTGAGTGAAACTCCGTGCTGTGCTCAGGATGACTCGGACCCAGTTTATGGACTCCAGTCTCTCTTTCCTTAGGGTGAGTTCATTCCCAGGACCCACCTGCATGTCTTGAGCAGATCACCCTTGTCCAGTAGATCCCATCATTTGCTTGTCCAGGATAGGACCACTGACCACTGATAGTTACTGCTCAGTTGCCTTTATCAGGAATAGGTGCTTCCCAAACACCCTGTTCTATGCTTTGCCAGCGAGAGCTCAAATTTCTCAACACAGTAAATACACTTACTGTTCAATGTGTGAAGTATTAAACAAAACTTGGTCTCTATGTTTGGCGGGGCCATGTCAGTGAGAAAACTGGATCTAGGGGAGGCTGTTCTTTGTTCTTGTCTCTGCCACAGCGCCTTCTTTGGTGAAGAAGANTTTGCCAGCGAGAGCTCAAATTTCTCAACACAGTAAATACACTTACTGTTCAATGTGTGAAATATTAAACAAAACTTGGTCTCTATGTTTGGCGGGGCCATGTCAGTGAGAAAACTGCATCTAGGGGAGGCTGTTCTTTGTTCTTGTCTCTGCCACAGCGCCTTCTTTGGTGAAGAAGAGAAAGGAGTGTTAGGGAAATCACTTTTTCTCAAGACAAAGCCAAATTGGTTCCTGAGATATCTGGGTAGGGTCAGGTGTTCTCTCCCTCATTAATTGTATTGGACTCATGTTGAAAATTAATTGACTATAAATATGAGAGTTTATTTCAGGACTCAATTTTATTCCATTGATTTATGAGGAATCTTCCAAAAGTTCATGAGGAGATTTGTATTATCTTTTAATTCCATTTTTCCATGAACTTCTTGAAATACTC